ATTGGCCACTTGAGACCAGGAAGAAGCCCATGTGACCCAAGGGGTATAAAGAGGGTTGAGTTGCCCACCCAATTTGAGCTCCAATCACCTACACCTGCTGGCAGGTATTTATTGTCTCCCGAGGTCCGTGGGACGCCCAACCTCGCCCTACTTCTTCCCGAGGGATTGAGAGAAAGACGCTGGCCACGCCAAGTCTGGAACGCAGGGGTGAGAATTGTACCTGCAATGTGTTTTCTTTATGTGTACACTTTAATTGTCACTCTGTTGTAAGTTTAGTTACTTTATTATAGTTTTCTTAAGTCAAGCTGCTTCATTTCTATTGTAAACTGCCTTTGGTAAGGTGATTTAGCTATAAACTTTGGGAATAAGTGGGGTGCCTTCATTCACTTATATATATATACTGAACCAAGTTTCTTTATTTCTTTTCTCTTTCTTTCTCCTATAAATAAGCCAGTGCGTGTCAAGCTTCTGACTTGAACCCGTGCTGCTGTACCCAAACACAAACAAAAAGAACTTCAGCCGGTCAAAAGGGACAGGTATAGGAAGAGCTTGGGCATTTTGGATCGTGTCGCTTCCAGGGGACAGATCCGTTGGGGCACCTCTCAGCCTCCCCAGGCTGCCCGCTGCGAAGGGATTTCTGTATCCTAGCAGCTAAAATCTGAGGTGTAATAAGCTCTTCCTATAAACTCGGGGCGTCTGAGAGCCTGTTGGCTGCCCTCTGCGACGGGACCCCGGTCCTAGCAGTAAAGTCACAGACGTTAAACTATTTTTCGGGGCGCCCTCCAGCCTCCTAGGCTGCCCACTGCAACGAGACTTTGCGTCTCAGCAGTTGAAGACTTGGGTGTAACACACACGCACACACTGCCCTGACCATTTCGGCTGACACTAACCAAGCCAGATTAGGAACCAATTTAGCTCAAACCATGTTTAAACATGTTTTCATAACTCTGTTTGAACCCGACTGTGGACAAAGCCAATCAGATGTATTCTCACTTGATACCACGTACCTTTCTACACACAAATGTGAACTCATATAATCTTGTGAATGCATTTTAGTGGTTCTCAGACTTCATTGCACTGTGATCCCCTTCTGACAATAAAAATGAGACCCCAGGAGGGGGGACTGAAGCCTGAGCCCACCTGAGCCCTGCCACCCTAGATGAGAGAAGCGGGAGGGGCAAAGCCAAACTGCATGGTCTTCATCCCTGTTCAAGGAGTGGGACAATTAATCTGAGCCCACTGCCTAAGTGTGAAGCCTTTAGCTTGGGGTAGTAGGACTCAACCTTCAGCTTTGGCCCCAGGCTCCAGTAGGTCTAACACTAGCCCTGATGACCACATTAAAATGTAGTCATAAACTATTTTGGTGTCCCAGTCCCACAGTTTGAGAACCGCTGAGCTATTGGTTCCTTGTCAATGAGTTAGAGCAAATTGAAGCTCCGTAAGATGTGTTAACAAAGAGGCAGCAGTTGTTTATGTCTGTGCATGCAGCTATTTCATAGTCTTGTATTAAATAATAGAATGGTTTTCTGTATAGATGTCCAGTTTTTTGGCAGAAGCAGCTTTTATTTATGAAATTAAGTATGGTATTCTGTAGGGAAGAGTGTTGGTACAAGGAGGTTCACTCCATTGTTAACCAGAAGCAGGATAGATAATCACCATTTCTGTTTGAGATCCCAACAATTGTGAACCAGAAATCATAGTCTTGGACATTGCAATCACCATTGCCTCTCTAATTTATATGCTTTGATTGTGCCCTAAAATCACTCCTACGTTTAAACTGATTTTTAATAAAGTGCCTAGAGCAATATTTGTTTTCAGTCTTGGTGCTGACATCTGATCAGTCTCACATTAAAGCTTAATTTAAATTGCACCCTAGAATAAGTGGAGGAATAAAATACGATTTACTCTCTTGTTCTGAGGAAAGCCTGCGCCTGAATAAAACTGCTAGGTCAGTGAGAGTTATTGACTGCTGCTTGCTCTCAAAAAAGTACATGAGGGCTCCACAGGTAAGCCTAGACAGTACTGGGTTTGAAATAAGTGAGATTTGTTTTTAGTTCTAGCAATAGAATATTTCCAAAACTGGCGTCGCCAATTTCACAATGTGTTTCCAGTGATCCCAGTGTTACTGATTTTAATGTTTCTTACAAGAGTGTATCCTTTATTCACTACATTTGTATAAAGTCAGTGGTTCAACTCTTGCTTCCAATACAGTTTCATTTGTGTGGTAATTATCTGTGAAGGAAGCATAAAAAAATCAAGATTAACTGTTGAAAATAATTCTTAAAGTATCAAGAAATCAACAAAGGAAACAAGATTTGGCAGCTGCCCTGCTGCTTTCTGAGACCACAATACAGGACTTCAAAAATGTCTCAGTGAAGCTTAAAAAAACCCCAAAAAGTACACAAGAGGTTTTTTTCTTGTAGCAATGAAGAATAAATA